TGACACCCCATGGGAATGGACAAACGAGTGCGAGGCTGCTTTCTGACATCTGAAGCATGCGTTGACGCACTACGAGGTCTTGAAACTTCCCGATCCTAATAAGCCGTTTATAGTCACCACGGATGCCAGCCAATATGGGATTGGCGCCGTGCTTGCTCAGCAGGAGGGGCCAAAGTTAAGGTAAGTCGAGTACATGTCTAAGAAAATGCCGTCTCAGAAGTTGGCAAAGTCAACCTATGAGAAGGAACTCTATGCGGTGTACAAGGCTCTGACCCATTGGAGGCACTATCTCCTTGGGAGGTAATTCATCCTCCGAACTGATCATCAGACACTGAGATGGATGAGAACCCAGCCGACACTTTCTGACGCTCTGAAGCGTTGGATCGAAGTCATTGAGCAATATGACTTTGACCCTCCATATTTGAAAGGGGAGTACAACAAGGTTGTTGATGCCTTGTCGCGTAGATCTGATCTCAGGTGCGCTGATTACTAACTCCGATCTGACAGGCGATGTTACTCACTCTTTGGTGGAAGCCTATCGAGAGGACCAGTTTATGTCTGAGATCATACGCAAACTAGAGGCGAAGGACAAAAAGACTTCAACCACGTTTGAATTGGTCAACGTCTTGATGTTCCTTGAAAGGCAGGGAATAAACGATTGTGTGTCCCAAATAGAGAGTCCTTGCGTAGTTTGTTTTTAGGCGAGTGCCATGATGCCACCAGCCATTTTGGGTATAAGAAGACCGCGACCAATCTGCTGTTGCGGTTCTGGTGACCCACGATGATGCGAGACGCCGAGTTGTACGTAGAGACTTGTTAGGTATGTCAAGGTATGTCAAAGAGACGAGCCACGTACTCAGGCTCCTCTTGGGCTGCCCCGAGCTTCCTTGGTGCGGCACTACCTGCTGGGGCCTTCCAGGTGCAGCGCCTATCCAGGTGATGAAGATGGTGTCCACCATAGCCAGGTAGGTACCTCGCCACTCTCCTCCTCAACCCTCTTCTCCCTCCTCCTCCTATCGGTAGACGTCCACCATAGCCGAGGTGAGAGCTTCCGACCTTCTTCCTCCTAGCGTGTTGTAGTACCCAACGCTCAAGAAGTGTGTTGCCAAACTTGCACACCGAAGAATGTGGCTGGACTCTTCTCTCTGCCTCGAGATATAGCGGCCTACTTGCCTCCTGGGCGGTGACTTCAAGGCCACTCGGCCTCCCAGGCAACCGGTACCTCCTCCCTTTTAGAGGGAAACATCATTGCAGACTCTAATATTACCTGTACAGGCCCTAAACTCAAACTGGATGGACTGGTACCCGCCTAGACCTAACCTACCGCTCTTGGGCCTCTAAAAAATGCCAACTTTGTCTTCTTCTGATCGGCTTCAAGTACCCGGCACGTCTACGTCTACTGGGTGCGGTACCGGCCTACGTGCTACTCGAGTGTTTTTTAAGTGTCACGGGCCTCTTGCTCCGCCACTTTCACGGCCACGGGTAAGTACCGACCCTACGGGCCTCCCTACAAGCAAGTACCCTTGAGGGTCACACACACACACTCATGCCGATAAGCACGTCATCAAGCACGCACACACAGAGACTTAGAAAACTCAGCAAACTCGACAGAATGCGGGAATCTCAGCAAGGCATCCATTCCATCGGCATAACTCAGAAATTAGTAGTGTTCTCAGTCTGTGTTATGGCAGGTCATTACAGTGAACTAAGTCTAAGTGGCATTGCTTTAGATGCTCACCATGTGCTGGAGCTATAGGAGTTGGTTCAATTCTTGCATTTTTTGAGTTAAGTTTATTTAACTTGGTTCGATTCTTGCATTTCCTGGGCTAATTTATTTTTCCAAATTTGGCTTTGTATAAACTTTGGAAAGCAACTTCCGCTAAGGGAAGTGCTGTCCAAATTCTTACAAAACCGAAGTTCAACTTTTGTCAGAGTTTTATATCGGGCTTAGTAGAAATCTGGAACGCCTTCTTTTCCAGGGGAAGTGCTGCCCAAATTCTTACTAATTCATGGAGGTAGACAAAATGTGACTTAGTAAAGTCGGCATCATTTTCAGATTTGGTGTTTAGCTTTGTTCGAATTTTGGAATGACATTTCTTTAGAGGGAGTGGTGCCGAAATTTCTACAAATCTAAAGAGTTAGCCATTTGAAAAGATACCTGTATGGCTGAGGTAAGGGGTGTGAGCAGAGAGTGGTTGAAGTTGACCCCGTGTAGTGCGTGGTGTGTCAATGTGAAATCCTTGATGTGATTGCAGGTATGATTGTGGTTCAGACTCTAGATTTGACTTGCCTGCGATCACTCATATATCTTTGAAGTCACACTGTGATTGTGAGAAGTGATCGTCTCTGGTCTTATAACCCTATATATATATATATATATATGCCAGCGGCGTGTCTGGAGTGTATTTTTTGGCTGTGACAGACCTTTCTTTGTTTCGTGGATGTTTTGTTGGCTTGTGATGGGGTGTGAACCGACAGTCTGTAGAGTTTTCCATCTGGTGTGGGTGAGTGAT